ATTGAAGAAATGACAATGACATAAGAATAGGACATATAATGGCACAAAAATCCTGTAACTAGCCTGTTTATTAGTAATTAGAACTATGAATTACAAAATATAAATATTTTATCCCAATTTTTATCTCCACATATGTCTAGCTATTTACTTAAGCATCTATATCTAACTATGGCAAACTAAATGAAAAAACTGGTAAATAAACATTGCTGCTGAAAATGGGAAGTTAGTGTAGTTCACCTTAAAAACTCACCACATCTATATCCTCATATATACAACTGTGAATAAAAACTCACCACATCTATATCCTCATATATACAACTTTTTGCTATAAGGCATGTTAGGGTTTATTACTCTTTTACTTCAGGTGTAAGTCGCTTTAAATGTATTAAAAATATTCTCATAATGTTTCTTCTAAATGTAATAATAAGAGGTAAAGCAAAAAAAAAAAGGTTAATTTAAAATCAATGTGCAAGTAGTATAGTACAGTGGATTCTCTGTGACTAAGGTTGAACAGAGGCTTAAGTAAAAGACTCAGATACTGACATCAAACTCCAGCTAAATCTATATCAAACTTTTTTTAAAAGTGCCTGACTCGTGCTTTTTGCAGATTTTCTATGCCTTTAATTTTTTTTGTTTTTTCTACAAGTGAAAATAGCATACTAAAATAGAAGAAACCCAGGCAGTATTTTCAGCTTCATTTCTAGACTAAAGAGAATAAGATAAACTTTGTATAAAATCTTAACTTTTGGATGATTTCCTGAACTAAACGTCAAAATCATTTTTTCTTCTTCCAGGTCTGTGTTGATGTGCAGATATGAAACAATTTTTGGTTATATTATGTTTCTCTCTCCTTCCCACAAAATAATAAATTTTTGAGAGAAAAAGGATCTGGACTGACAATGAAGGATGCCAGTGCCCTCTATTTAATTACTGAACAGGTACAGCATACGCAATGGAAGTATAAAATTCCTGTGCTGCCTTACTACTGTTATCTATCTCAGTGTAATGTGAGAGGGACAAGATATAACATGAATGTAGCAGGCCCGTAGAGCTATTTTGTAGCTACTTTGTAATTTCTGTGCTAGTTTGGGAAGGCAATAAGCAGTGTGTTTAGAACTGGTTTGTGTGTTTGTGGAGGGAATTAGGGGAACAGTGGCTGGTGGCTTCATCTTAAATAGGAAAAGGATGATCAGCATTGTGTCCAAGCCAGGCTGTAATAAAGGACAAGATGGTCTGATTTTCTGCAAGGCACCTAGTCACCATCACAGAACTGAGAGTCAACATGTAGAAGTTTCTATATTCAGCAGTACTTGGCTCTGAGATGTGAGCACCAACACCACACTAACACCCATCATGCATCATGCCCACTAGAGAGGGAGGGTGAGTTGGATCTCTGGGTTCGGCAGCATTGCCTGAACTGGCCCAATGACAGGGTGGTACAGATTGAGGATGCTGACAGCTAACGGGGTAACCAATTATCCGGTAAGGATCACCTTTAATGGGTGCTGCTTATGGGTAACGCCACAGGACAAGAACTGCTCCGGCCATGCACAGGGCTGTCTCTTCCAGCCCCACGCAGGCTGGGAGTCAGCAACCCCAAACGGGATCTGGGGCAGCCCCTGTTCATAGCAGAGGGGGCCACTCCAGCTCACCCCCCGTTTAGTCAGTTAACTGGTTAAACTTAAAATTTAACTGGTTAACTAATGAAATGGAATTTTACATCTAGTTTAGACTCCACTGTATTCTCTTTTATACCTCTCTGCCCAGACTGCCAACAAGGCATCCATCAGTGTCTATTGTGAAGATAGCTTCTCCTTCCCCTCTTCCCTGATGTGGACATTTGTCCATTGGGAACTGGACACAGCTCTCCAAACCACAGCTAGCCACCAAAAAGCCATTAGATGGTAACTATTAGTACTTTCAACTTTATCCTGATTCCAATCAGACCTAAATGCTTTTTATCATTACTAGGTTGAGGGGGCAGCACACTTATCCTTCTGGTAAAAGTAGAGGGAGAGCTTCCTTCTCCTTCTGTGAGTAGGGAACCACTAACTCCTCAAGGCTCGTCACTTTCTCCTTGGCTGGTGAGGTGAAGACTAACCAGGTAGGAGAATCTAGACAAGATTCAGCAGAAGAAGCTGGTGCCTGGCTAGGAAATTTTTGTGACTTCCAGTGCTCCAGACAGTAGCTGGAGTGGCAGCAACTGATGTAAGAAGACAAGGTGTCCTATCCTGAATTCTCCTATCTGCCTCTTCTAAAGGAGTGGTTCTCAACCTTTCCAGACTATTGAACCCCTTTTTGGAGTCTGATTTGTCTTGTGTATCCCCAAGTCTTGTGCCTCACTCAACCCGTTGTAAAACTAGGCAAATATCTAGATGAGTTGATGTACCTTCTGAAAGACTTGTGTGTAACTCCAGAGGTACACATACCCCTGATTGAGAATCACTGCTCTAAAGCAAGCTCTATCCCTAAGCTCACTTCCCCTCCTCTACAGAAGGCAGATAAACAATGCAAAGTGATTCATTCAGCTTCTCTCTTTGAAATGTCTTAATCTTTTAAAATGCAGAATACTACTAGACACAGTTTTTATCTTGATCATATTTATGTGGCAATGGTTGTAAAACAGTGGGGTGAGCACCTCACCATCACACACATTGTATGAATGGAGGAGGACATACTACCAATTAAAATAATCAATTCGGCATGTAATTTGGTTCCAAGAACAGTACTTTGTTTGGCTGTCTTTGGACTGGCATAGAAATGTGAATGCCCCTCAGATTACACTTATGTTCCTTTAGGTGCTTGTATATAGTGGTGATAGGTACAGCATAAAAACCCATATCTATTTCACATTCTCTTCCACTTGCTGCGCCCTTTCATCACAAGATCACGCAATGCCGCATGACCACACAAGAGTGAAAGCCATGAGCTCTGTCTCCTAATTTGATTTGTTTATATCCACTACTCATAACCAAAATCCTGAGCCATCCACAGGGTTCTTTAGGTTGCTGTGTCTGGGTCTGCCCACAAACAGACCAATAGTTAGAACAAACATGTTTTGTATTTTCTGTAAAACTATATTTTATATGCTTGATTATGTCACATTAACAATAAGTAAATGGAATCAAATGACAATAGTGTGGTGGTTAATCATGATCTCAGTAAGTGAAAAATAATAATTTTGTGGGCACATTCCAGCTATAAGAAAGAGGCAGCATTTAAAACTGACAGAACTTTCTAAATTACAGCTTTCTCCTTGATATGATAGATCCAATGCAGAAGTTTGCTTGCAGAAAGATTCAGAGTAACATTTATTTGTGTGTCACAATTCTATTGATTAAACTACAGATCTCTAGAGATAGCACTACAGGGGAAAAATCCATTATAATTTTTAATCGGTGACTGAATGAATATGCACATACTGGATGCAAATACAGTTCAGAAAGACTGGAAATGAAGGAATACAATTGTTTTCTCCGGAGTTCTTTTATTTACTATTGAAATGTTACTAGACTTACTGAGATGACATTCATTAAGTCTATTTGCTGATTGCTGTTTGTCAACAACAAAAAGGAAAAATATGAATACTTGAGTGGATCGGTGCAGAAGTACTATAGATGAAATAATACAAATATATAAATCCCTGAAACTCATTTTGTTTAGTGAAAAGAGTAAAATCTCCCAGAACTCTGTAAGAATATATATTTTTAACTACTGTTCATAACACTATCTTTTGTGTGTATTTGATGGTTTGATATTCAGCAAATAGAAAAGTGTTGACAGTCTGTATGCCTTCCACAAGGGAACAATGTGAACATGCAGTTCTATCGTGTAATGCCATAGGTGTGTAGATTCTGAGAGCCACACCTTGGGACTAATTCTAAATGTTCCAGAGATTCTTCTTTCCTTCTGGAACTTGATCTATTTGAGGCCCAGTTTTTGCATCTATCCTCCTTTCCCTTCCCTGTCCCTAAATCTACTCAAACTATCCCAGTCTAAACTATATAATGACATTAAAAAACAACAAATAGTCTGGTAGCACTTTAAAGACTAATAAAACATGCAGATGGTATTCTGAGCTTTTGTGGGCACAGCCCACTTCTTCAGATGACCTGTCACAGACTAACTTGGCTTTCCCTCTGAAGCTAATGAAATTAAAGAAATTCATATGTCTAACATATTAGGTAGGGTATACTGTATTGTGAAATGTCAGATTATATATTCCATGCAATGTAAAAGACATGACAAGATGTAATCTGATGTAACTTGATCTCACACATCACAAACTGCACAATGCCTCAGATTTACAACCAGGCTGGTTTTTTTTCTTAAAAAAAAGCCGGGGGGTTGGGAGGGGAGGGATCTTGTAAGGGTGAATGGAGGACATACCACCAGTTAAAAATAATCAATTTGGCATGTAATTTGGATCCAAGACTCAAGAAATGGAGCTTTCAAGCAATTCTGTACCCAAAGGTCACAGGCAGTCCTTACTTCAGTCCTTACGGAGCCCTTTCCCAGAACCCTTCTAAACAGTTTGCAGATTTGTACTCAAACTTCAAAAACAGTTACTGAATCGAGAGTGAACTTAATTTATAGAAAGAATATAAAAGAGTGCTGGAAGAATTGTTTAACGAAGTGCCTTGACTTCCTTATTCCCAAGTACACACGTTTGTCTAGGTTATTTCATAAAAAAAAAAAAAAAAAAAGGAAGATTCCTAATCTCCTTTAAAATGAGTATTCATCCCAACTGTTGCAGGGATGTGACTTAGTAGCTGTGCTCACAAGACACACAGGATCTATAGAAGGCAGGGTATACCTCCACAGGCATAAATGTGTATCTGGACAGTGTCTCAATAGTTTCTGGGTTATCATAAGAAATTGGGGGTGGTGGTGGGGAAGATTGGATCGAAGAAGAGGGGTGGGACAGAGAGAGAGAGAAAGAGATGAGGTGTGGACGAGGTTATAATTCTTAGCAACTGGGAATGCATCAGAGGTTTTACCTTTAAGATCAGATCAGTATGATGTTGGTCCAGCATGTTCGCCTTCCTGAAGGATGTGATGATGACCCTGCCCTCCCTCCCAGGGG